TTATTTATTTATTTGTATATTATAATAATTTATTTATTTATTATACTTAATAAAGATTTATTATAAGAATTATAATTCTATTTTTTTTGTTATTATGTTTCAAGTTTTTTATTCATTTAATTTTTATATATATATAAGAATAAAATAAAGATAAATCAATTAGTTATTTTTATTAATTTATCTTTTTATATGGGTCTCGACGTAGTCACCTCCTCGTTGGTGAGACCCGGTAATTGGCATCGATTTCAATATAAATTCATTTGTTTAAATACATGATATTAGAAAGATTTTATGAAAATTTTATTACATTAGAAATATTAGTTTTTGGAAATCGATGCCAAGCTAAGAACTACACTAATTCTTTTTTGTTTGTTTCAGGATCTTGTTACATTGTATTTTTTTCTTATAAATTTTTGACATTTTACAAATATTTTCAAACATTTATAACACTTGATACACTTTATCATTATTTATCAATATTCTAAATTGTAATAACGAACAATTACAACATAATTCTTGTAAATTGCATTACATTCCGAGTAAAATAGTATTTTCTTAAACAAATGATTTGTTATAAATGTTTGATAAGAAAAAGAGAGAAGATATCGAAAGAATATTATATTTCTTTTTCTATCCCTTCTTAAAAATATATTTTATACTTTCAGGAAATTCTTTTAACCGCGCGCAATGCGGTCAGTAGAGTCAGTGTTTGCTTTCGTAACAGTTTTTTTAAATCCTTCAATGGATAACGCGAAATTAGATTCAGTGTTTGTTTTCGTAACAGTTTTTTTAAATCCTTCAATGGATAACGCGAAATTAGATTCAGTGCTTCTCTCAAGAAAATAAGGCGGTCATCCATCACGCGAAGAGGTAAATATCTTTTTATTTTATCTAAAATTCCCTATTCTCCTCGATGTAAAATCATTCGATTTCATTAAATTTCGAGTCTTTATATATCAAAATCTTAATTTTTGTTATTATTAAAATTCATTAGAATTTCAATCAAATTTATCACTATTCCATTGATCTAATAATTTCATCTTTTCTTATTTTCATTTTTTTAAATTATCTGGACTATGTTTTAAATTATATATTTCGCTTTTTGTTACAGATATTCCACACAATGATGACTTCCTTTTGTTCTTCGCATCTAATGGTGAGTCGCATGCTTTTTGATTCCTCTGGTCACTCAATCATGTCGTAGGACGAAAGGTCCGAATCGACACGAGTGACTGGTTGTATACGTAGATTTTTGCACGAGCACAGTGACCACGGGTATATTTTATTATACCCGTGAGTAGTAACACATTCAATGTTTTATTTATATTAGTGCAGGCTAGGTTTTCTTGCGCGTCGCGTTTTCGTTTAACAAAAATCTTCCTTTATTTTTCATCTCATAAATAAATTTTTAGTAAATCACAGTTTTCAATTTCAATATGAAATGTAAAATTTTTATTTTATTTTCTCCGTTTACGAAAATATATTAAATTATTACGCGCAAGAAGACAACTCGCGACAGATAGATTTCGGAATCAAAACAATCAACTTTGAATACTTGTTTTTGTTTTCGAAGATATGTTTTGATGAAGAAATCGCCTGAGGTTATTTCTATTACTGCGTTCATTCTCTACATTTAGTCTTTTTTTTTTTTGATATATATAAATTTCTTATTCATTCTTAAATTTTCTTTGTTTAATAGATATTAAAATTTCAATATTTTATTAAATTAGAATCGTTAGATTTTTAAATTAAATAAATATTAGCCCGTTAGATACAAAATATTATACTAATGTATCTTTTTTAGCTCAGGATTTTCAGGTTTAACCCCTTCCGTGTCCATTGCCTCGATCTCGTTCACGTGCCCAGGTGTTACTTGGATGAGAGAGAGGCAATGGGCACGATGACCATAGTTTATAAGTTTATTTAACAGCAATTGACGATGAGTTAGTGATCGTGCACGACGTATTTTCCACATATGTGTGCGTGGTTAGGATGTGGAATTGCGTCGATTTTCTTATTTCATTCACCAATTATACAATTATACAATTTACCAATCGCGATATATCACATTTTCCATAAAACATAATCGCAACTTATAATTACATCACCAAAATTCCCTTTTATCATTTTTTTTTAAAAGATACGATTAAAATACATTTTTATTTATCACGCAATGATCACTAGCTCGTCGTCGGTCGATTTCAGGAAAAAAGGTACGTAAATGTTAACGTGTGAAAGTGGTATCAAGCTCGGGTGTCGGAGGCGTCCCGGGACGCTCTCCCTAGTGTAGGCTTTTTGCACCCGGGTGTAATGCGTGAGAACCGTGGAGTGGGTGTGTTGGTGTGCCTGTTTTGCCATTTTTTTAAATATAGGGCTAGGTAGGATAGGTAGCATACTTTCTGGTGCGAATGTTAATCATAAGTAGGTAGGGCCGGGCAGGTTGTCACAGTCTCTGGTCGGGCAGGCGCGTTCTCGCGTGACAACCTGTTTCAGGAAATCAAATTTGAAAGATCGAGAGTAAGGCTGAGACGAGTGATCATTCGTGTGATCATCACTCGTTTCTGGCTTTGCTCGTCGATTTTTCGAATTCCGCGATCGCGGTCGCGATTTGGTTTCGAAACGAACGTTGCGCTCGAGATTTTGCACGTGTACGGAGAACGATCGCTGATCGATCGTTGGTCGTCCACGTGCGCTCAGTTTCCGCGATTTTTCTTTTTTTTTTTTTTTTTTTT